GGAGGTTGCAGTGAGCTGAGATCGTGCCACTGCACTCCAGCCTGGGCAACAGAGCAAGACTCCATCTCTCAAAGAAAAAACAAAGTTGAGACAGGCCAGGGGCCAAGAGAAATCAAAGAGAGTGAAATATGAATGGAAGCAAGAGTAACATGCTCTCACCTGCTCAATGATTCAGCAGCTCAGGGGCACGTAAGCACCACTGAAGACGTAAGCCATGTCTCGGGGCACTTTCAGATCATACTCGCCGTCCACGCGTGGGATCTGTAAGACAAAGGGAATTCATCAGGCAAATAACAGCTCAGCTCCCTAACCGTTTAAAGGGTCAGAGAAAGTGGCAAAGCCCAAAGAACAGTTCTTACTTCAACTAAAGGGAGAAGTAGCAATAGCCCTGGAAAGAGGATCCATAGCCGAAGATGGCAGTCTCTGTTCAGCAACTGCCAGTTCTCTGGAATGAGTTCCCATGTGCCATTACTGAATAATATGAAGGGCTGGAGGGGAGGCTTCTCCTTTCCCTGCCCTCAAGTGACATGGGATATGGCTGTCACTGAAGCAGCACTTATTCTCTGGCACTGGCAGGTGCTTGTTACATGTGGATTAAATGAATGAATCTACAATGTTATAAGACTACCAAGCAAAAGAATTCTTACACACATGAAATGACAAAAAGGCTTTTGTGGATTCAAAGTACTCCACAGTGGGCCAGGCTCGGTGGCTCACACCTGTAATCCCAGCACTTTGGGAGGCTGAGGTGGGCGGATCACCTGAGGTTATAAGTTCAAGAACAGCCTGGCCAACATGGTGAAACGCCATCTCTACTAAAAATACAAAAATTAGCCAGGCATGGTGGTACATGCCTGTAGCTACTCAGGAGACTGAGGCAGGAGCATTTGAACCCAGGAGGCAGAGGTTGCAGTGAGCTGAGATTATGCTACTGCACTCCAGCCTGGGCAACAGAGCAAGACTGCATTGCCCCCCAAAAAAGTACTCCAGAATGGAATGAACCCACCATCTCCCCTAACCATCCCTGTTCCACATACCAAATTCAGCTTTTTGCTGATGGCACGAAAATTGCTCCTCTTGGCCAGAGAACTGAAGGCATCAGTAATTTTTCCTGGGGAAGAAATCTGTGTCAGGTTTCACCTAAGGTCTATGCATTCATGACACTGCCACAGGCAACACCGTTCAGGACATGACAGCACCAGTCACATCCAAAGACTCTTGGAACCTGTTCATGTACCATTCCCTGGAACTAATCAAGATACTCCCCACCCACAGCCTTCCCCCTCCTACAGGGTACCAGCTCTCTACGAAATGCAATCCACAGGGTGACCCGAGTTTATTGTTATGTGCTTTGGAGTTAAACCAACCTAACTTATTAAGGAACCTGGGACAAATCACTTAATTCTCTAAGCCTCAGTTTCATCATCCATAAAATGAGGATGAGAAAATCTACCTCACAGAGTCTTTGTGAGGATTAAATCAGAAACTAAAGGGCTGAGAGCATGGCAAGTGTTCACTATGTGGAAACTGCTCCTACTAGCAGTAGTGGTAGTAATCGTCATGACATTAATAGGAAGGAATCAATCCGGCTTCTCCAGTTCATTCCATCCCTCCCCGTGTGCTGCCTGTTGAAAGAAGTCAGGACCACAGCCGGAGCAGAGGCCACCTGTGCTCCCTGCTTACCTGCAGCCTTGTCGGTCACCAGCTTGCTCACTTTACTCTCCACGGCTGTAAGGGTGTCCCCGGGGCCCTGCTCTGTTAGGAGCCCAGCTCGTCGCAGATTGGAGAAGGTTAGCATGTGCTCAGGGCCATAGCTCTGAAGAAGATGCAATTAGACTATTTACTGCGTTTCCAAAAAGCATCTAAGCACTGTCAGCCTCTACAGAGGTGAGCGGGAGAAGGACTGTGCAGCCTCTGCTCACATTTTGTTGAGATACATTTTCACATCAGAAATAACCAAACAGGGGCTGGGCTCAGTGGCTCACGCCTCTAACTAATCCCAGGGCTTTAGGAGGCCAAGGCAGGCAGATCACTTGAGGTCAGGAGTTTGAGACCAGCCTGGTGAACATGGTGAAACCCCATCTCTACTAAAAATACAAAAATTAGCCTGAGATGGTGGCTCAGGCCTGTAGTCTTAGCTCCTCAGGAGGCTGAGGCAGAGAATTGCTTGAACCTGGGAAGCAAAGGCTGCAGTGAGCTGAGATCGCACCATTGCACTCCAGGCGGGGTGACAGAGTGAGACATCATCTAAAAAAAAAAAAAAAAAAAGAATTACACCAAACAAAAATGGATAAAAAGCAGCATGAGCCATGTGTGGTGGCTCACACCTGTAATCCCAACACTCTGGGAGGCCGAGGTGGATGGATCATGAGGTCAGGAGTTTGAGACCAGCCTGACCAACATGATGAAACCCCATCTCTACTAAAAATACAAAAATTAGCTGGGCATGGTAGTGTGCGCCTGTAATCCCAGCTACTCTAGAGGCTGAGGCAGGAGAATAACCGGAGAGGCAGAAGTTGCAGTGAGCCAAGATCACACCACTGCACTCTAGCCTGGGCGACAGAGCGAGACTGTGTCTCAAAAAAACCCAAAAAGACCTATGGATGTATGGGGAATGCTTCCCAGAAGAAGTAAGACTTGAACCAGGAAGGAAAGCAGAATCAATGCCTCACACGGTGCTAAAATGAGGGAGACAACCATCAGTAAGAACTCACCACTGGGGCCGGCGCTGAAATGTTGAATTCTCAGCACTGGCCATGTGCCATGAGTGTATGGGGTGAAACAAGAGTAAAGGGCAGAGAGGCGTGCTCAAAGGTGACGCTCCCTAGTAGCTCTAGGAGGGAGGCCAGAATGGAAACAGGAAGGTAATTGAGGCAGGAAAGGGGCCACTTCTTTTGCCTCTTTCAAAAATGCCCAATAACTACCCTCCACCAAGTTCCCTCAACAATACATTCTCCAGGCCTTACCTGCAGATACTGTGTTTTCAGAGACCGGTAATCCTTGGGGATCAAACCTAAGAGTGAAGAAAATAAGACAGGTGCATGAGCAAGAGGCCAGCAGAGGCACCCTAAAATGTACAGATAAACCAGCATCCAATGCCTTCTTTAGGAGGGACTCAGTTAACCCTGTAGAGTATACAGTTGGTTCTAAATTTAAGCTTGCTTATTGAAAGATAAAGCCTGGGTCTGGGAGTTCCCAAGAAGAGTTGTGAAACATGAGTGTGCTGAGGAGGGGACACCGGAACCAAAGGTGATCATAGTGGGGTGGGGGCGGATTCAGCGCGGGAAGGAGAAGTGACGACTCATGCATTTCTTTCTGGCTAAGGGGCAGTTCTACTAGGAACTGCTTCACAACTACTGAGAAACAGGAAAAGTGTTCAAATGACTCCCAAAAGCACGGTCTTAAATGTTTTTCTCCATAGAGGTAGGAATAACTGGGATTCTAGGCCGGGTACAGTGGCTCATGCCTGTAATCTCAGCACATTGGGAGGCCAAGTTGGGTGAATCACCTGAGGTCAGGGGTTCAAGACCAGCCTGGTCAACATGGTGAAGCCCCGTCTCTACAAATACAAAATTAGCCGAGCGTGGTGGCGCATGCCTGTAGTCCCAGCTATTTGGGAAGCTGAGGCACGAGAATCACTTGAACCTGGGAGGCGGAGGTTGCAGTGAGCTGAGATCATGCCATTGTACTCCAGCCTGGGCAACCAAAGCGAAATTCCATTAAAAAAACAAAAGAGAGAATAACTGGGATTCTAACTATAGTAAATGAGATTTAGAATAAGTAGAATACTTCTCTGGGTAGAAAGCAACATTCGACTGGGCACAGTGGCCGATGCCTGTGATCCCAGAACTTAGGGAGGCTGAGGCAGGTGGATCACCTGAGGTCGAGTTCTAGACCAGCCTGGCGAACATAACAAAACCTCGTTGCTACTAAAAATACAAAAATTAGCTGGGTGTGATGGCCTACACCTGCAATCCCAGCTACTCGGAGGCTAACAGGAGAATCGCTTGAACCCGGGAGGCAGAGGTTGCAGTGAGCTGAGATGACATCATTGCACTCCAGCCTGAGCAACAGAGCGAGACTCTGTCCCCACCCCCCAAAAAAAGGTAAAAGAAAAAGAAGGGGCAACCTTCAAGAATATTCACCAACTGGAAGACTTCAACAGTAAAATGAAGTTGCCACGAAGGTTGCAGAATCTGAGATTTTAGAAATGTTCATGAAAACCAGCTCGGCACAGTGGCTCACGCCTGTAGTCCCAGCTACTCAGTAGGCTGAGGCAAGAGAATCGCTTAAACCAGGGAGGCGGAGGTTGTGGTGAGCCGAGATCGTGCCACTAAACTCCAACTTGGGTGATGGAGTGAGACTCCATCTCAAAAAAAAAAATAAATAAATGTTCATGAAATTAACTTGCTATCCCTTTTTCCTGGAATGTATCTTTATCTTATTGAAAATAAAGACAGACGGAGTGTGAGAGAAGTCCCACTCAGCTCTGCACCCCTGCAGTCCTAAGATGTGGCTGGGTTCCAGGGTGGCCTGGATGTGGTCCCGCTTAGGGCAAAAACAATACATTCCCCTGTGGCCTGGTGATGATTCACCCCAAACAAAAAAGAATCCACCAAATTACAGGGAAACATTCTGTTTGCTAAGACGTGTGCCTTAGCCTTTCAAAATCACTTCTTCTGTCCCTAAGGCATAGTTTCTCAGTCTGACATTCTCATCCGTAGGCTCTCGGGCTCACCATTCTCAGTGATAGACAAAAGGCACATGAGGCGCAGGCTTTCTATAGGCGACACCTGCACAGGAAGAAAGAATCAAGGAGAACTGAAGCTTCAGGACATGTGTCCTTCCCCTCTGCTGGAGGCTGACCTCACCATTCTCGGCTCCACCCAGCCCTCCACCTGCGCACCTGCTGGGTTCTATGTCTCCACCTCTAAACACCATTCTCGGCTCCCCGGGCCCTCCACCTGCGCACCTGCCGATCTATGTGCTCCTCGATGTAGCTGGTACTCTCCCGGATGTTGAATCCCTCTAGCAGTGCTGTGAGTAATCAGAGGAGAGCCTGTTACTGGGGAACCAGCTCAGCTGCTGCCATCTATGCTAACAGGTGTCTGTCTCCCCATCTCTTTCTCCATCCTTGGGGTGGATTAAGGGACCCCCAGGACTTCTAGCAAGAACAGCATTCCACATAGCTTCCCAGTGTCAGCTGGAAAGAGCCAGAGAACATCTTTTCAGGGTGGGAAGGGGCTGGGAGCAGGGCAGAAGCGTGGGCAGTAGCGCAGCAAGGCTGCTGCAGTTACCGTGCTCAGTCTTGATGAGCTCCTGGAAATCCTGCTTGGTTTTCTTCTTCATGATGGATTCACAGGCCCCAATATCTGCAGGTTGGACAAAAAGGGAGCTGATCTATTCCTGGTTCTAGAAAGATGCCCCTTTACTGTCCAGAAGAATAAAAACCTCTTGAGGTAAAATCCAAAAGCACTTCTTCCCACTTTACAGCAAATAAGACCATATGTGTCAGATGAACAGAGGTCTCCTCCTTGGAGGCCATGGTCCTCTGGAGCTTTTCCTGGGGGGACACAGTCACTTCCCCTCTGTCCCTCAAGTTGAAACCTACGGAGACTCAGCAGGCGGTGCTCTTGTTTCAGGCCCTTGAGCTCCTGGGACACGAAGTTCTTCATCTGCTTGATGTCCATGCCTCTCCGGCGCTGTGGGTAAATTCCCAAAGGTGAACCCCCAACCTCAGACACAAGAAAGCACCCCCCTCCCTCAGCTGCCATCCATCCATGAGAAAGGACGGGGAGCTTGTCATAGTATTAGAAAGGGAGTCTGTGGACAGCAGCCTTGGGAAGGCACTGAGGCGAGAAAACAGAGGACCCGGGCTCCGAGCCTCACATCATACTGGGCCTGCAAGTTCCGGGCCTTCTGGCTCAAGAAGCCAAAGACGTTGGAGAAGTGCTCGTTTCGAATCTCATGGAATACCTGTGAGGGGAAGCAGATGGGAGCAACACATTGTCAGAACAGAACTGAGCAGCGGAATGACAGTACAGGAAGCGTGCCGCGGTGTGCCGGGAATACAAAGAAATACAAAGAAGGCTGAGCTGGGACCCGTAAATCCATGTTGAGTCCACTCTGCTCTAGGGTGTGCTCTTAACTGGTGGGGAGACCCTCTCAGACTCAGCCTCCCCTCACAGAGCTGGGCCTGCAGCCTCAATGTAAGCAGCAGCCCTCGGGGGGTCTACTGCTGGCACCCACACCCTCACCTTGTCCTCGGCATTGAGGAGCACCTTCAGGCTCTTGTCAGAGGATGTGACTTCTGGGCCAAAGTCGACACTCCCTTTGAGAACAGAGGGACAGCTCTTAGGATCTCCAATGAGGACTTCCCCTACCCTTCCCTGAACTGCCATGAAGGTCCTCAAACTGTCCGGAAGCCAGCAGTTCATTCAGGGCCTGGGTCTCTCCCACAAGCCCTGTCCCATGTGGGGGGGTGCCAAGGCTGATGACAACATCCATCTTGCCAAGATGCAGAGGACAGTGGCACTCACCACACTTGATGCGGAAGGTGTCATCCACTAGGCCCTCGTAAACCACTTGGGAGCAAAGTGCCGTCACAAAGTCCACATCTGAAACAGAGATCCCTGAGCTCATACGAAGGTTCTCCCTGACCCAGCCCCCCACACACCGTGCTGGGATTTCAACTTTGCCACCACACTTGCCATATTCCAGCGTCTTCTAGGGCTGAAAGATGACAGGAGTGCTGGGCATCATTTACCTCTGTCCAAGAGAAAGATATGTCCAATCTCTGGCCTTCGGCCCTTGGTTTCACCATCCTCCTCCTCCTCCAGTTTCCTCCACAATTCATACGCCATCTGCCAGGGCCCAGAACATTCTGTCTTGTGTCCAGGTCTCTACTGCAGCCCCATACCTACAGAAGCCAACCCCTTCCACGTGATACTTCCTCTTATTCACCATGTGCCCCTGTTCTGCTCCCACCTGTGCCTATCCCTGCCCACCCCTTCATGCCAATGAGAAGGAGTGTTAGGAGTGTTACTCTGTCCCAAAAATAAAGAGATTTAGGAATGCTACCCAGGAGACCCTGGCTCTTGCCTCTGTTAGCCACACAAGTTCTCCTCTCTGAGGACCTATTCCAGAACAATGAAAGCAAAGTAAAGAATACACCTCATATCACAGACACCCTTAGATAACTCCAGGTGGGTCTGGAACAGAAGAAATAGGGTCTGCTGGGACACCAGTACCTTGAGGGCTCTCACCTTGGCACATCTGCCAATTCCATAGCAGTTTGGAAAGGGTCCATAGAGAGCGCTGAGAAGGTGCAAGGCCTGAGCCACAGTGTTGATCCAACGCTGATCTCCTTCCTGCAGGGACCACACAAGCCACAAACATATGAATCAACCCCACAGGACCATCTGGAAAATGGCTAGCCCTGGAAGCCTGGGACAGGATGGCAGGGTCTGGGAGAGGCTTGAAAGGCTCATTTTCATTGGCCCCTGGACAGGCAGGGTCTGTGGGAGGCCTGAAAGGTTCATTTTCATTGGCTCCACAGGAAGTCCCACAAAGACCAATCTGTAGCACTCAATCACTACCTCACGATCGCTTGTGATAAATTATTTCA